ATTTAGATTTGGACACAACAGAGAAAGAAAAAAAACAGAAACATCTAGCTGTTTAAGCAAAATATGTCTTTGTTCCAACTTCTTAAGCTGAATTAAGGTAAACTTTAAAAAAAGATTTATGGAAATGATAATTTTATTGAAAATCAGAAAATTTTAAACACAAACAATATTTTTTACCCTGATGGGTGAACAAATTTATTAATTGATAACAAACACATCTCTAAGATATGCAAATAAGGGATCTAGTGGTACAATACATTGCTTATAATATAAATATCCATTACAGCCCAAAAGTGAGATTTGAATATCTTGTTCTACATTCTTTGACAATAGGCAAACCCTTGTCAGATAGTAAGCTATAAAAGGCATTAAAAAGAAAATAAATTAAGCAGTTCAAAAGACAACAATACACAAAAAACATTATGGTAGACAAAGACCTACAACTAATGGATAACTTGATTCTGGCTTGGTACATATACATAAAGAATGTGATAGGGTTACACATGTTTTGTGAGTGCACTTGAAAGTAAATCAAGTACACTGGTTAAAATAGTAGTTGATTCCCATAACTCTATTATAAATTGTGATATTGACCAATTAATTAGATTTTTCTCATCCTGAACAACATCAAAATATTAAGGATTATTTGTTTAATGGAACTTTTTCTTACAGGATGATGACTCCTCTGCAAAGACATATGCACAACCAAGTACAGCTGAAACTCACTCCCTGACATTCAGTCAAGATGTAAGTATAAAAGTAAGGAGATGAGATTGTATGCCAATGAGACATATATCCACCAAAATTCAAATGAAATTGATGTCAGCAATTGCGCAGCCTTCAACAATGAGAAAAATCCATACCATAAAGTGGGCTATAAAGGCCCTTATATGAAAAATATGAAAAATTCAATTAAGAAAGAGAGATTTAAATCATAAAAATTTAAGATGAATAAATATAACAGACATGAACAAACAACCACTGAATTACAGGGTCCTGACTTAATACAGACATATCAAGAAGGTGGCAGGTTAAATATGTTAACCGAGGACAGTGGTGTGACAACCCAACATAAAAAGAAACTGTAAAAACTAATTGCAATGTAAAGTCACCATATAAAACTACTTGCAGTTACTATAGCTAGTTCAAAGCCAAATGGTTGCATCTATAAAATAATTTGGTATAGGTTTTAATTATTTTGTGGTAATAAAACCCTTTACTTAATTATCAGTTATACATATAAAGCTATGTTCATTAAAATGAAAAACGCATTAATAAAATTTAATAAAATTAACAGAATTGTATTAGATAGTACCCGCCAATAAATACATATCTTAACGACACTTTTCAAATACAGTACAAAATATGTATAACAAACAGTGGCAAATATGATTCCTAAAGGATAAGCCCTACTGATTTAAGGTAACTAAACGAAAGGTCAAGGTCATAAATTTTTCTCATCCTGAATATGCATGAGCTCTTTTCCATTAGATATTTAGCAAGCAAACATGAATTGATCAATATTATGTATTAAGGATTATTTATTTTATAGGACATTTTCTTACAGGATGATGACTACTCTGCAAAGACAGATACACAACCAAGTACAGCTGAAACTGACTCCCTGAGGAATGCCTTCAACCTAGTCAGATAATGATTGCTTCTTTTTTCCTCGTCTGTGTGTGTTATGTCCCGAAATACAAAACCACGAACAATTGAGGATGAAGACTTGGAGCCGGCCCTTAATTTAATTGACCTTAATTTAATTGACACTCTGGAGGCTATGGATGTTTTAAAATGTAGCTTCTACATTTTTAAAAAGTGATTGAAATTAGTAAAATTTTGACACAATATTACTAAATCTAGTTCTGTGAAAATGATTTTTTCCTTTTAATTTTTTTTTACCCAATTTCTGACACCTGTCAGAAGTAGAGTGTATATTTTCATGTGAAAAAAAGAAACTTAACTTTTGTCTCTTAATCCATTTATTTTTTTTTTGACAATTTGGTACTGACTTATCTCAAACTTTCTAATTTTTTACTTTTTAAAAAAAATCCCACTTGAAACAATTAAAACGAAAACATCTCTGTAAACCTGTGGATTTATTTCAATGTTTCATGCATATACTTACATGATATTCACACATATACAGATTTTTTATTATTGTTTTAAGCAAAACAAAGAAATTATGAAGTTACTGTAGATAAGAAGAAGTTGTGTTTTACTTGTTTTGTTGAGTATATGATATACAATCAATTTGAATTGACTTGTTTAAACTCTCTGATCTTTTTAACATTGGCTGATTGATTCAAGCTGATATTCTATTTATAGCAATGGTGGTCATGTTGGTTTTGTCAGCTTTATTATGATATAATTTTTATGATGACAAGGGCAATGTTAATTGGTTAGCAACATAATCTGATGCAATTTAATTATAAGACACCAGAAGCAATAGTCATTATATGATGATATAGAACAATAATGATATTCCAATGAGACAAATGTCCTTATAATATTACAGTATAAAGATCAATTGCAGGTCACTGTACAGTTTAAAAAATGAGTCTAAACCTTGCTATAAAGTAATATGAAAAAGACCAATGAATGATAAAATTTTAAAGAATTAAAACAATAAAAAATGTTCTTATGGCAGATATTATTCAATGGCAACCACTGGAATACAGGCTCCTTGCTTTGGACAGGCACCTTAACCCATCCCATCATTATGATGGGAGAGTGGTGACAATACAACATAAGAACAGTAAATCAGATTCAGAGGCTCTCATTCACATTAGAAAATGTATGGATATAACTTGAAGATGGGCAATTAGTGTGCTCATGAGGAAGGCTCACAATGTCTACAAAGTTCAATTGATAAAAGGTATCAGTATCCAAATGTCTTTTAGGTAAAAATCATCAAAATTCACTTTGAACTAGGCCATAGACATATAAATAGTTCAAAATGATCTTTAAATAAATAAAAAGAGGCCATTTACTAAGAGTTTTATCAATTTCACATGGAAAATACTCTAGTGAAGACCAAAAAAATTTTTTTTTTACCAAAAATGTGCATTTTGAAAAAAATGGTAACTTTTCCGCGGTACTTTCTGGAGAAATTTATGTATATGCATCTGGTGAATTTTTTAGAGGTAAATATATTGTATTTAAGCTGTTTATACATAACAATGAAGTTGTATTATCATTAAGGATAATATTGGAATTGTTGTAGTACATTTATGTATTTTTTTCAAATTTTCTAGTAAGTGGTTGCTAAGGAAAAACATGCTTGGCAACCAAGGTGTTAGACATGTTTGAATGTCATTGTTGGTGCCAAATCTTAAAATCCACTTGCTCAAGTGTAGATATCCTTTGATACATGAATATCTAAATTCCATTTCATTTTTTTTTTTATTGATGTATACATGAGTCGGTTACTTTCACATTCTTACTTTTTTCAGCAGTAAAATATGTGTTGCTATGGAACTTGTTTATCTTAACAACAAAGTATTAAATAAAGTATTCAGTGATCAAATACTCAAAAATTTGTTGTTTTGCATTATTTTAAACAAAGATTTCATTAATTTATGATTTGAGATGAATGACTCACTGCATGGTTCTTAGGTGGACTGGTACTTAAGTAAACATCGGCTAAACATCATAATAACGATGACCTTTTTTTCAATGACATTGCGAAATATTTAACGGGAAACAGATTGACGTTAACGACACGGTTGGCATATGTTTTCTTCTTTTTGTATTGAATTTACTTTTACTTTGATAAAATATATCACTGGTAAAATAAATTAAATTTAAGCTTTTCGTTGTTTCAACATATGATCAAACCGTAGACAAATGTGAAATATAGTTTGATATGTATAAATATTTTATAGAAACTAGTCAATCAAATGTTTTAATTTGTCTATACTTTAATTCGTAACAGATACAATTTTTATGCCCCATTGATGGGTTTTATGTTTTTCGGTCTGTGCGTCCGTTCGTCCGTTCGTTTGTTCGTCCGTCTGTCCCGCTTCAGGTTAAAGTTTTTGGTCAAGGTAGTTTTTGATGAAGTTGAAGTCCAATCACACATGTTTCCTATGATATGATCTTTCTAATTTTAATGCCAAATCAGAGTTTTGACACCAATTTCACAGTCCACTGAAAATAGAAAATGATAGTGCGAGTGGTGCATCCGTGTACTATGGACACATTCTTGTTTTATTCTGTTCAAAGAGAAACAAATGATATCAAATAAGGGAAATTAACAACATTAGGTTACTCACATTATACCATAATAAAAGATAACCCATTAAAACTTCGGTGCGTCCGAAATCCTTCTATATTTAACTCAATCAGGAACGCTCTAACGTGAACATTTGAAAGACAGGGGTGTATAAATACGTAGAAACGTAAGGAGCAATATGACCAAACGGGACCTTAATTTAGATGCCATGAAATGTGATTAATAGTAAAGACAGCGAATACTATTGTATACTGGAAATAACAAGGTTATACATTTTTCGCGATTTTGATTCTTTATTTTGTCAATATACGTAAATCAAGAATACATCTCCCGTTAAGCCATAAAAAGTTGAAATTATTGCTTTTAAGTAAACATCAAAGGATACTATCCAATCGGAAAAGGAAATGATTGAAGTACTGTTGTAATTGACTATTGTCCGACCAGTTTCAGTAAACATTAATGTAAATAACATGCTAAAATAAAACGTTAAAGAGGCCTTTGCTGTAAGGTATGATTTTTTCAGTGGTAGATATTCGTAACAATGAAAATAATCAGTCACTTCAATGTGTAGTTTCTTCGATATGGTGGTTATTTTCTGAAATGTTTGACTCTCGTTCAACCTCAATAGCTGAACAAATACGGAAAAACAGGAGGCAAAGCATTTCCTTCTCAATGTATACCAGAAGCATTCAAAAGCTAAATTTCATAACCAATTTTAATCGTCATTTATTTTGATGACTTATTTATCTAATGTGTTTCATATTTCTAATATTATTAGATACTGTTTCAGTTTATAATCTCACATGGTTTAGTGTTTAACTTACAGGGATAGATAAAAAGGAAAAGTAAGTTGACTATTTTCTTATCAATCACAAATAGTAGATATAGCATCGCAACGGTATTGAAAATACTATTACATGTTAAGGAGTAGATTTGCATGTCAAATGTTAAAAACACCGCTTGATTTTGTATGTGCCTTTCTAAAGTTGCTGTATATCATATTTGTATTCCGTTTATTGTTTGTACATAAATCAGGCCGTTATTGTTAATTTTGAATTCTTTTAAACTAGTCATTTATGTGCCTTCTATACCTTGCTTAACGTGTTTTGCTTTAGTCGAAGGCCGTAGGGTGACCAATAGCTGCTTATTTATTTGGTCTTTGGAGGAGAGTTGTCTCATTTATTTTTATATTATATATATAATGGAAATATTAATAATAATACAAAAATATAAATTATGTATTTCCGGAAACGAACAAACTTGAAAATAAATTGAAAGTAAGCTTAACATAAAAGTAAGTTATATCATACGGAAACGCTGCTTCAACATTATCTGAAAGTTGAATAAACTTACTTTAAAATAGAATGATAACGTTTAGTCGAGTAAATTTCCGTTTTTCATCGATAAAGTATTGTGTTAGTCCGAATAATTATTGCGTCGTCACAGCACTAATTCAAAAAAGCCTTTTAAGACCGTCATAATCATGACAATTATTTGAACTAGTATTGTGAAAATAATTATGAATTTTTGGATCTCGTTCCATATAATTGTATGCATTTCAAGATTAACTTTGATAATATTTCCGTCCCAAATTACGTCACTTTTTCTGGCGTTGATCCATTTACGTGACGTCCATTTTGTGGTGTCCTCTGCTCTCGTTAATTCATGGGAGATGTCCGTTGTTATTCTGCGGTTTACATGTTGTAATGTACTATTACATTATTTATTTAAGTATTTCACTTTGCTGAGTGTTCTTGCGTATGTCTATACTGTATTCCTGTCACGTAGTGTTGTCATTTTAGCGTGTTTTTGTTAACATTGCCATATAAGCGAGAGTTTTGGCTAGCCATAAAACCAGGTTCAACCTACCATTTTCTTCTTAAAATGTCCTGTACCAAGTCAGGAATATGGCAGTTGTTATCAAGTAGTCCGTTTGTATGTATGTTGGCGTTTGTTTTTGATGCGGTTAAGTGTATCTGTTCTTCCGTTGTTTTCCTCTTAAAGTTGATGAGTTTCCCTCGGTTTTTGTTTGTAACCCAAATTTGTTTTCTCTTAATCGATTTATGACTTTTGAACAGCGGTATACTACATTGCTTTTCTCTAATATGTCAAAATGGATAAACATGTTTAAATTGATTGACTACATCTTAAAACAGCATCGACAGTGTTTTGATATTGTTTAGTGTATTTTTTTTTATAATAATAATTACCTGAGGTAAAGATGACCTTTAATGATTGTTGTTACCTTTTCGGTGATGTTGGTTTCGATAATCTATCACCATTGTCATGCGCTATATATATGTTTTACTTTTCAAATCATTATTTTATAACATACCAAATTCATTTATACCAGAAAGACGCGCCATTAAAATCGGTAATTTTGTTATATTTGCTTAAACGATGGCCAAAATAACAACAATATGACACTTTTACTGCCCCAAAAACGTACATTTTTAGTGCTTGAAATATTGTCAATGAAAGACGATGAAAAATACACCACATGTTGCAAAATAACTAGCATTTACATATTCTTTCAATTTATCACAAAATAGCAAAAAACCTCCAAACGGATATTGTAAAATGCTAAACAGATATTTTAAAATATTTCTTATATTACTTTAATTTGGACATACTGCTATACTCAAAACAATATTTTGAAAACACATAGTAAATCGATAATTACTTTGTGTACTTATATGATTGAAATTTATTTTTTACATCAATTATTACTACTTTTTAAGAAATGATGAATATTATGAAAACACCGGCTTCCAGGACATTCAAAAGGGGGATGAGTACGAAGAAGTGGAAAATAAATTTGGTAAGGTAGCTTTATGTTTTAAAATAGACGGAAGAAAAAAGGTGACATGACATTCCAAACCAGTTAGTCGACAAAAACGGACAACTTGATGATAAAAAAAGCGGAAAACAACGAAAAATACTGACAAGTACACACAACATCTATTTAAAAAAAGACTGAGCAACATGAAACCCACCAAAAGACGGGATTGTACTCAGGTGTTCTGCAAAACTAAGCAGCTCCTGTTTCACATGCGGCATCCGTAATGCTACTTTTGCAATTACAATACTGTGATAAATCACTTTCGGTGATATCATTATCGAGGAAATTATGGTTATGACAACAAGAACATATTAGTAATCATTTGTAACACATATATTATAACACGCTCAACCAACTCAAGATGACGTTCATAAAACTTTGGAAGGGATTACAACAACTCACAACTTTGAAACCTTTGTTTAAAAGCATTGTTTGTAAGGAGCATTCCTTTATAAATGAAAGCATAATAAGAAACACGACCTCTGGAATGTCGAATCATCTGCTGTGGGATATGTATGCCATATGTAGGTGCTGGAATGTTTCAAATGCAATATGTAACAAGATGTAGCACTACAAAGTAAAAACAAAATCTGAATTATGTTCTTATACATTTGAATTCGTTTGAAACTGTATTCTGATACAATCATTGTAAATTAATATATGGTTGGATAAAAAAAAATCACTTTTATTCAAAGTCCTGTTATTGTTTGTGTTATAAAATGTCTCTTTACTGAACATTATTTTATTGATATTGTATTGTTTCAGATGTTGAACATACACCGTGAGTATAATTATAAGGATTGTTCGACATTTACTTCCTCAAATTAAAATGACAAGATAGATTTCGCTATTATTTGTATATTCTTTTTTGGTCATTAAGCTCTTCCGAAGTTTAGATTTTTATACATCCTTGGCTTCCAAAGATTTGTTTCAGAGTGTTTCCGATGAAAGTAACTCCAGTAAAATGCTTTGAACGAATAAAATTTATCAAGTATTGCATTTATTTTCATTCGTTTTGAAAACAAGCAATCCACACATGTTCATGAAAATAACCACAGGTTTAAAAAAAAAAATTCTATATTTGATATATTTGCGCAAAGGGTGTTCATATATTTTGAATTAAAAGTTGGCCATATTTCCTTATCCATCAAACTTGTTATTAACTTCAAAGTTCCTTACAATGTTAAGATAACCTTTCCTAATGAACGGAAAATCTTACCGAAAGTAGGAAGTCTGCTTTTTATCTTGATCTTTGTTTTTATAAAATTGCAACAGATGGACGACCTCAAAATTGAGTCTATGACTAAATGAATTCTAACATTTTTTTTGTTAACTTCCAATTTCCCAGCAGTAACTCCCACTGTCCTATTTTATCATTGCTTATGGCGTTTATTTATCTAAATTAATCCGTTACACTCGGGCATGTTCACACTACAGTAGTTTATTAGCAGGGATGTGCTTTCGACACAAAAACTGCCCCAGCAGACCTATAGGAAGTTCTTTAGATATCATGACTGTCGTCTTATCTGTAAATCTACCGATTGCGTCCTATCCGTAAATAAGAAAAACAAAGTCTTTGTTACGCTACGTTCTTTTGTTGGGTTGTCATTGTAACATGATTCTCTACTCTGTAACTTAATAAAAATCAGATAGACATTTTCCGGTTTTTTCGTACGAATGTGTAATTTCATAATACTGACTTTCGAATGTTTATGATTTAGCATTCCAGATAAAGGTAAATCAACAAAAGCGCGAAGGACGCACAAACTTTATGAAGTATCATTTTCTGTTCATGATAAATTAATCTGGAAAGTAATGCTTTTGGCTTATGTGGCGTCTGTAGACGAATTTCTCATGGAAGCAAAACTGTTGAAATTGTCCATGTCATGTTACATAACAACAATAACATGAATAAATCAATGCTTCGCTTATAAAGGCATCGAAAGGAAAACAAAATCAAAAGTTGTATACATTTTGTTTGATTTTTACAAAAATACAAAAAAAAAGTATTTGGATTTCATACTTTTTGAGCACAACTATGTGAAAGATTGCAATGAATGCCTCCGTCAGTATTAACATATCATAAACATGCGTTGGCTGATTATAGATTTTGTAAGATACAAGTTAAACTTCTATTTTTGTTTTACAGTAGTTCGACGCTAGACAATTGCATAATATTCAATATATAAATATGTCATATCATTGGACACGACACGAATAAACCAAGAAAACTACAAACATGTTGCTTTTGCCTCCTATCTCATTTAAGTTGAGTCCGATTGATTTTACTCTCGTGGTTTGTTTTCTGTTTTATGGCAGAACTAATAGATTAATTGTTCTAAACAATTTTTTTTTTTACATCTTTAATTACTTTAGTTTTTCAATATAATTTTAATATGTAAATTATTTTTTAAAAAATCCTTAACTTCTGATATTGGATTTTGCAAATGTCATTTCCGTATAAACTAATATTTTCATAGAAATTTTTTTATTATCCTGTCTGTGTTACAGATCTTGTCAAACTTACGAAACACTTGTACAAAAGACAAAATTAGTGTTTATGATGATTTAGAGAATGCCAAAGGTATGTATGGTAAAATGTCATTGAAAGAACTTTTCTTTCGTCCAAAGGATCATGTAAATATGAAAATAGTAGATGTTTTTTTGGGATACGTAAAACAACTCTACATTTGAACGAATTTGCTTAAATTGTACTTACTGCTTAAATGAAAAAAAAAATGTATCTAAATCAGATTTCTGATCAAATGTATTTGTAAATTTTAACAGATCTCATTGTACATGTATGATGCGAATTTTATGGAAAGTCTATAATAAAACGTGCCTCTGAGACAATGAAAATCACCAATATATCAAAGGAACAACTGTTTTAATGATAAGTGTCACATTTACAGTTACTCGTCTTTGAATACCGTACGATGACCATTCGTTGCTTTCATCCAGGTCGTTTTGTACACATGGTGAATAGTTCTTTCATTTGCAGTAATGATAATACCAACTGGTTTTTTTTAAGTAACGGATTGATACATTGCAATAGGACGCTCACTAGTTACTTTTGTCACTCTATTGCAGCATGGTTTGTACGTTGTAAATACTTATAATAAAATTTACACAAAATAGATCTGACTTGTTTACTTGATTGTGTATGTTTTACAATACCTGTCAATATATTATCTCGTCCAGGGAATTATTTGACAATCCAGTTGGATGCATAATATTTACAACGCTGATTTACCGTGTACTTCTGTTGAAATGTTGCTGTTTTATTGCTATTATTTCAAAAGCTATAGTTTAATTGATTGAGAACTTGTAATGTCTTTTATTTTTTTATTTTTTTATTTAGGTGTAACATCATCGAAATCATAAGTGTTATTATTATATGTATGTATATCTGAAAATTTAAAATTGCATATTTTAAAACAATACTCCTTTACTTCTGACAATTAAATGGGGATCTAAAAAAAGATATTTAATTCGGTTTCGAATTACTGTGAATTGGTGAACATTTAAACACAAATCAGCTAAAGTAAAAAATATTGTACAGGAAATTTCAAACGACAGCAAACGTTCAACTATTGATCACGCAGAACGGAGCTAACAAATTTGCAATAAAACAGCTAAAAATATACTAACAATTTTAAACACTATTTAAACTGTATAAAACAATGAACACAATTATACAGTTTGAATTATTTATCTTAAAATACAAATTTCCCTGTTTTTTTCTGCAATGAACTTTAGACTTCAAACTTCTATAGGTAACGACGAATTAAAACGTTATTCAGAAGGAAAAGCAATCATCTTGCATAACACAATGAAAACAATTGAAATAAAAATTACTAGAAGTATATGAAGTAAGCATTTTTTTTTAAATATGAATGTGTGAGAGAAACAAAAATGAAACTTCGGTATGGGTTCAGTTCAATTAGTTCGGCTTTACACATCAATTAAAATGTATAAATTATGAAAATTGGTCATCACAAGATAGAGGTGTTTAAAATTGCATAATTACCACAAGAGGTCGCTTATGTAGTTTTATCAACAGAACACGTGTCCATGCATCTGCTCTGAAATAGTATATCACAAATCATTATTTGATCAGTTGATAGTGCAACGTTGTTGCGACATGTCTTAAAAAACAAAAATGTTGGCATTAAAATAATCAATATCATTTATGCATGTATACATAGTCTTTGTATATTTGTACTGTATAAATAGTTGTCTTACTGACAATTATACAGCTCCTTATATGTATATTGGTATGCACGTTTTGGGTGTATATCATTACATGTATCAATCCAACCAGCTGAAGCATACACACAAATAAATGTTATTCGCTTATAGTTTAAGTTCGACCGTGTTATTTTTAGTAAATTATTTAAATTACTCTCCTTTATAATTTTGTTTTTAGCTCGATAGGCGTTTACGAAGCACTAAGTGTCCAAGATAAACCAAGCATTTATGCTGAAATGAAAAACCAGAAAGGTAGCTTTAAAATTGAAAGAAATATTTACTGTTAAGATTAGATACATTTGGCCATCATTTTATGATCTTTTTGCCATATAGATTTTTTACGTCCTTGGCTATGAACGTTCCAATGAAGATGATTCCAGAAATACGTTCCAGGCGCATATATCCTGCGCAATGTGTTATTTTCATTACTAATTCTATAGTATATAAGATGTTTCTATTAAAGATTATCTTCCTTTTGACTATTAAAATTAACCGAATATCTATATTTTTTTCGATTATGACATAGTCAGATTCAAGTCAATTGACATTGAAATAAATTGTTGAATTATAAACAAATGTACTTGTTGTTGTTTTGCACAAGTGTGCAAGTCTAGTATCCTTCAATTTGAATTTAAGATACCATTATTACAAAAAAAAACATATTGTCTGTATCTACAGTTTAAAGTAATGAATAAGTGTTATTGTCATGTTAGAACAGAAACAACTTAAAAAGTAAGAACTACTTTAAAACCGCTGAACATAATTTTTGAACGGCAATATTATAAACGCTCCAAATTGAACTTCTTTTAACTTTCCGTCGTGGAATCCGTTTGTGTTGTTTTTCATCGAGTCCACTCTCAAGCATGTTATGATGGCTTTGTTTTGAGGACGTTTATAAGTATTTATTTCAGGCAGAATTTTGTTTTTCCGATATGATTAATGAACAAATTTGTATATCTTGTAGGGTGTTAAATTTCAAATATATGGTATTTTCCGAGGAAATTTATCAATAATATTAATATTTAAGTTTATAGTATTTACTCGGGTACCTATTTCAGAACTAATTATTAGCGTCGACGAGATTTTTGACAACTCAAAATTTAGAGAACATTGCAATATCTAATATATCTCTCAATCGATACGATATTCCCGGCTTGTTTTTCCTATCATGATTTCCTTGATAGAGGGTTGCGGCTCACAGGGAAGTTATTAAACCAAGAGTTCCAAATGATGACGTTGAAATCATCCCTCGTAAATTTTACGGACGCCATCACTAGTTGGTTGACTGTTATGGAATATCTGTTTCACAGATGATAGCGGATATCTTCCTAATGTCGTAACTACAATCCCGACCCCTTTTCACGAATATGGTCTACCTATTTAGACTTGTTTCCGGGTTTGTACTATAGTGATCAACACGAAGGGTGCCACATGTGGAGCAGGATCTGCTTACCCTTCCGGAGCACCTGAGATCACCCCAAGTTTTTGGTGGGGTTCGTGTTGTTAAGTCTTTAGTTTTTCTAGGTTGTGTTTTGTGTACTATAATTGTTTGTTTGTTTGTCTTTTTCTTTTTAGCCATGGCTTTGTAAGTTTATTTTCGATTTATGAGTTTGAATGTTCCTCTGATATCTTTCGCCCCTCTCTTCTCTAATAAGTATTTCAAAATATAGATGCAAGTATGTTTTTACTAATCGTTACGGATCATTAGATATATACATGCCATTACCGTAATAAATAAACCCATACGTAAGTCACAATCAGTATATAAATTCAAATAATTACCATTTTTCCTATCTTTTTAACTGTATTGGGCCTGGAACCTGGAAGCAGTTTTTAAATCATTAGACTTACGTGTAGGTATATTTTTGTTAGTTTTTATCGCTATTTTATGTTGTTTTCTTAAGTTCCAGACCTCTGTACTACTTAGATTAGCCATATATATATATGATGTATTTATATAGAATCTTACATTTGGAAAACAACAATATAATAACTACTGATTAAGGAGTATGAATACATTTTTAAATCAATAGCAGACAACAAGCCTAAGTTCGTATAGAAAATTTGTAGTGAAGGCGGGATCGCGCGTCTCCCTCAAGTTAATTTTTTTTACATGATGATAAAGAGATGTAGATTTAAAGAGGTAAAGTCAATGAGCCAGCAATCCGACGACACAAGAAAATAAATATCTTGAGATCGTCATATAGACTTCAATATATAATTGATAGCTGTTCATTATGTAATATTCTACATTGCCAATATTTAAAAAAAAAGTTCGGAGTAGTTTAAGTCCAATTCAATTCTGAATTTAATAATTTTAAAAAAAGTGGATACTCCGACATTTCTATATGTAATGTGTCATAATATACATGCAAATCATGAACGAGGAGTATTTTATCTTTTTAGACAAAAACAGTTAAAGAAATCGAATAATCCTAACGAAAGCATTGAAATAAATACAACACAAGGTAAGTGTTTCGCAATACTACAGTGAAAATTTCAACTTCCAGTAACTGAAATATGAATTGTCCTTCAGTCATGCATCATTTACAAGCAAAGACATATGTCTTTTATCATACTAAATTTTGCAGAATCTATTTTTTTTTTATTACATTGTGTAGTTTGTGTTATGTAATAAACATAACATAAATGAACATTTCTGCAAAATTTATGTTAAAGTGATAGATGTAAGTCCTCTTAGTTTCCGGAATACCCCCAAAAAATGTCTTTTGTTCCTGTCCCGTTTCAATTTTTTGGAGACATCCAATCACTAATGATTCATCTTAAAATATAAAAAAAAAATAAGATGGTATGCATATAACAAAACTGTTGTTGCGCATGCAATGGTAATCTTCGTTATGTTGATGCTGTCAAAGAAGACAACATGTAGCTTTATAGTACACATCTAGCTATAACGTTCAATTCAGCAGAATAGAAAAGCATTACTTATTTGTCTGAAAAAAAGTTTTGATGAATACAAACATTATTTTGTTATATCTTTTTTTTTAATCAGTCTCTGATATAAAATAAATTTGAAAATCTACGTATATCAAATAGTCCGAGTCCTTTGTGTTCACTAATGGATATAGGGTGTAACAAACTTTTTCAATATTAAAAATCGAATTTTAATGTTGTATAATATAATGTTTTAAAAAAGTGTTTTTGTGTATATAGTTATACTTGTAAGAGTACAAGGAAATAGTATATACAATTGTTTTGCAAATATTCGCGCAAATAGTTTATTCTAATTTATACAGTCGGAGGCGTTACTTTAACAAGTGATTTTTTTACTTACCTATAAAGGTAATTATAATTTTAAAATTACTCAATAAGCATATACAGGAATATACAGATAAAAGGTTACCTTCAGAATAATGTCAAAAATATTATTTCCAGAAGTTATTACATACAGCTCTGAAATAGTTAGTAGTTACAATTATGTAATGAACATCTGTAATTGTTGTGGGTTTATATAAACTTTATAAGCTAAATAAACTAGTTTTGTCCTTAGGTTTACTCGAATTCATTACATGTAATCAATCAACCTTACTAAGAAAAGAAGTCCAAATGTTTCAGAAACAGAAATTCAAATGTTTTTCACATTTCAATTGTTGTTGCACCATTTGGACAGGTGCAAAAAATATTGCTAGAATTGATAGAATGTTCAACCTTCAAATTAGGGCAGCACGAATTATTTTAAAAGAACATTATAATATGACATCGTCAAACAAACTTTTAAGAGAGCTGCGATGGATACCCATTCCAGATTATTTTGTACATTGAAAAGCGATTTTAGTTCTTAAAGTACTTCTCCAAATGACTCCGAAATATCTCAATGTATTTAGATATGTGGATCAGGTTACTACTAGAAAAACCGTACAAAGTACTTGTAATAAAAGAGGGACGAAAGATACCAGAGGGACAGTCAAACTTATAGATCGAAAACAAACTGACAACGCCATGGCCAAAAATAAAAAGACAAACAGACAAATAATAGTACATAAAAACATAGAAAACTAAAGACTAAGCAACACGAACCCCACCAAAAACTGGGGGTGATCTCAAGTGCTCAGGAAGGGTAAGCAGATCCTGCTCCACATGTGGCACCCGTCGTGTTGCTTATGTTATTACAAATCCGGTAAATAGTCTAATTCAGTAGGTCACATTCGTGAAAAAGGAAGGGTATTGTAGTTACGACATAAGGAACATATCCGATATCATCTATGAAACGGTTATTCCATAACGGTCAACCAACTCGTGATGGCGTCCGCAAAATTTACGAAGGGATGATTTCAACTTAGTTCCAAAAACTAAAACTGAATACTATAAACACTCTTTGTTGATATCTAGAAGCATTGTGTGGAATAATTTGTCAACAAATCTAAAAAAAAAAAAAACATATATTTAAACATAAGAATTAAATATTTGTAAATTTGTTCTTTTATCATTGAATGTTATACTTTATGTTGTAATATATGTATATAAGGCAGGACCTTATTGTAAACTAGTATATGGACCAAATATGTTATCCTACTGAAAAAGAGGAAAAGTTTTATTTTTATTAAATTCTGCATGCCGAAGTAAATAGAGGAACAAATAAGGCGACGAATATTATTAAGGAGAGGAGATTGGATACCATCTACACATAGACAAATAATTCAAATACCAACTAAAGGTCGTATGTGTTGTTTTTATCTTAAGACTTGATTCATTGTAACTTTTATGACTATCCCAAGACCATCCGAAATTACCTATGTATATATCTTAAAATAAAAAAAGAAGATGTGGTATAATTGCCAATGAGACAACTCTCCACAAGAGACCAAATGACACAGAAATTAACAACTATAGGTCACCGTACGGCCTTCAACCATGAGCAAAGCCCATACCGCACAGTCAGCTATAAAAGGCCCCGAAATGACAATGTAAAACAATTCAAACGAGAAAACTAACGGCCTACTTTATGTACAGAAAATGAACGAAAAACAAATATGTAACACATAAACAAAGACAACCACTGAATTACAGGCTCCTGACTTGGGACAGGCACATACATACAGAATGTGGCGGGGTTAAACATGTTAGCGGGATCCCAACCCTCCCCCTAACCTAGGACAGTGGTGTAACAGTACAACATAAGAACGAACTTTCGGCAGTATATTAAGAAAATTCTTGATTATTTAACGAAAAAATATCATCAAGATAACGGTAAGTGTTGTTGAATTTATCAATTAAATGCAATTTAGACGGGTCTTTACTGTGTTTGGTCATAAACTGTGATTCATAACAGTACAAAAACAAGTCTGCTATTAAAGGGGCGCAATAAGTGCCCATAGGAATACCTACAACCTGTCGATAAACTTTGCTGCCGAAACGTACATAAATATGATCAAGGAGAAAATTAACAGCTTCAATCATTTCATCACACCTCCAGTAAGTATATCTAGCATATTTACCTTTCTCATTAGAGAAGAAGGCTTTAAATGAGTTGCAGCAAATATATTTGCATTCAGATTTACCAAACGACCATTTAATTAAATAGTCAAACTTTTGTTTGATAAGATTGTGTGGACGTGTAGTGTAAAGAGTAGAAAAGTCAAAACTGTCAACAGAATCAAAAGAACCATCAAAAGCACGTAATTTATCTAAAACATCCAAAGATTTTTTTACACTCCAAAAATAGTTAATTCCACTATTTTCATATATTTTATTACAATAGTTTATGATAAGCTCTTTGATAGTAGTTAAGGAACTTGTTAAAAGCACTGAAAGATTAGTTGTAGAACAATTACTAGAGGCCGAGATGAAACGATATTTTACTGGTTTTTTTTGTGTAGTTTAGGTAACCAATACATAGTAGGGACCTTAAAATGTTCAGAAGAAGCCTTAAGCTGTGATGTGGTTATGATATGTTTGTTAACTAAATGACTCTTTGTGGGGCGCATGGACTTGAATGTAGATGAATTTAAAATTTCATTCTTAAGAACGTTCGTGTAGTATTTACGGCATACCACCACCACATTGTTGTTTAAGTTTAGGACCAAATTTAGGACATATCTTATCTTAGGAGACTTGAGTTAATCTAACTAAGGGCTAAGACGTGTCATAAGACCATCGTAAGACAAATCCTTGTCCTAAGACAGCTTCGTTAATACTGTTCCTGGTCATTAATATTTAGATATAAGCCAAGCCAGTATCCCAAAATACATAACGCCTCAAAATTTGTTTATAATAGGATTTACAAATCGATTTGTGTAAAGCATTGACTCATATCTATTTTGTCCCAAAACTATGTGTAAAAATAATAAAATTTGGTAAACTATGCCAAAATTCAACATGTTATGGCGTGATTGTGACTTACTTTTAAACTTACATTAACAATAAACTTAGAAATTTAGAAAGTATTAAATGGGTGATATCTGTCAAATTTATGATGAACGATATGACTTTAATTCTCGTATTTGTTTGATAACATACTAAAGCGTTTATACAAATAATAAAAAGTAAAAAATGAAACAATATCTTGTTCAGACCGAAAACCATACATATGTTGGTGCACTTCAAGTTTCTGATTATCCTGGTACACTAAGAATCACATATTTAACTTGAATACAACTTAGAAGTATTATTTTGATAGTATTCTCCCAAAACACACTGCACAGTTCTAAAAAATGGTCATATTTTCCCTCCAAATTAAACTGTATAATGTACACTATTCTATGAAAATATTCTGTAAAAATTGTTTGAAATATGTTTTTTACAGAAAATTTACTTTTCAATAACAGAAAAATTGACAATAAATAGTAAATGATATAAGATTGAGGCAGTATTGATCAATACTGCTGGTATTCGAGTAATAATTTTTATATTTAAGATATTTATGTCATGTGATTCTCGAAGTATGTTTTTCATTTATTTATACGTTATATTACATTTACTTTGATATCTTCAAAATTATTGAACCTCTTGAAATTTGTTCAAGATTAAAATAAATATTGACAACATTTGAGATCCATAAAGCATAATATTGTACATGCAAATTATATAATTCAATAACTATTTTTTATTTGTTCATTCTGCAATTTCGCATACATCATGAAGCATAACAAATTATACAAATAAAGCTTTGGATTAATAAACTTGAACCTATTACTGCATTTTATTTAGAATATGCCTTCGTCAATTAAGAGAATAACAATTTCTAGTAATTTGACTTAAATAACATTGAGAATGAAAATTGGGAATGTGTCAAAGAGACAACTATCCACCAAAGTTCAAATGAAGTGGGTGTAAGCAATTAACACTAAGCGGGACAAATTTGCCATTCCAGAATTGGCAATTCTGACTTTGTTGTTTTACAAGATAATAAAAATATTTTTCGGTCAAGTGAAAGGTTATCAAAAAAAATAAATGTCCCAACATGTCACTGATGTCACTACAGCTGATTAAAAGTACATTTCCAATGGGA